CGGAGTTAGAAGAGCTCGAACTTCTAAATGTTGGGTAGTTGGGAAAATTGTTCAGTGAATTATCTATTTGTGATTGTATTGCAAAAAATAACTATTTTCCAATAAATTTGTGCATTTTAAGATATAACTAATTTCTCACAACAATATGCAACCATTCTAATACATTTTATAAATTGCTATAAGATGACATCTAAGTTGAAAAACTTTCGTTCTAGATGATATTGTTGTCTAATAGATATTCAAGTCTTAAACTGGTCTCCAGTGAGTTATATTTACACATATTAAGATATCTAGGTATCCTCATAAGACATATAAAATTTGTTGAGTTAATGTATTTAGCAGAGCTTTTGAATCTAAACACAACTCTAGACAATATCTGTTTTTTTTCCTTTGCCACAGTAACATGATGGAGTCAAGTCATATCGCATTGGAGAAAATTTTCTTGAAAAAATGTTTAGTTGTCTTATGTGGTGAATCAACTTGTTTGTATTGGTGCTCTTGTTTTGACGATCTGTTTAGGTTGGTGATGCTGGTGGTGTAAATCTGGTCGCAATGGTGTGAAGATTTGGTTGTGGTGATCTTGCTTGGACGAGGGTCACATATACGATGGAGATAGAGTTAGACATATGACTGAAAATGGTAGGCTTGGTGGTGGAGTTACACCATCTCCCACCACCATCGGCGCTACCATTTTTATTCTGCATGGCTTTTATTTTTTGTTGATCTGATTTTATGGTGGATGTTGACTGATATTATGGTATTTTACGGTGGGCATCAGCGGTGAAGGCTTAACACAATATTGTACAGGTGTTACATCTTATATAATGATATTTATGATGGTTGTAAAAGCTACGACTGTGTAACATAGTTTATTAGATGTTTTACATTTTGTGTAATGATACCAAAAATGAAGGCAACGATGCAACACAATTTGTAAAGGGCTACTTACACAAATACCCTATATTTTGGGGCAATTTTGAAAAAATATTTTAAACTTGGATAAAGTGGTAATTAAGGAAACTTTAACGTATTTTATATGTTCAAACAGAGAAGAATCTGGCATGAACGTAAATAAGCTTCCAAATTGGAAAAAAAAGAAAAATTAGAAGGAGAAAGAGGAAATCAACTATAAATTTGTTCATTATTCGAAGTTCTGGAAGAAGATAAATGTTATTTCATTATTAAAAGTTTTGGAAAAAATCGAGATTGTCAATTTGAGGTTTTTTTATTTTTATTTTTTTGACTCCTTCTTTAATTAGTTCTCAAATTTTCAGCTGTCTATTTCAATTTTATTTGGATTTCATGATTATATTTATTTTAAATCTTATAGCGTAAATAATTAACATTTATAAATTTTATTTTTGATGATTTTGTTATTGTGTTTGGAAACATGCTTGAAAAAATAGTTTTGAATCCGTTAAATCATTGATGCATGTAAGGTGTTGGACAAAAAGATAATGAAAAAGTGACATTTTGTCACTTTTCTATGAAAAATGACGTTGTGTCATTTTTCTCAAAAATAGTCACACGCCCTCCCCAGTCTTGTGACCTTTTAATTATTTGTTATTGTGTTTGGAAACATATTTGAAAATAACATTATTGAATTTCAAAGAGAATGAATTGTGTCAAACATATGAAAAAATAGCTTTGAATCCGTTAAATCATTTATGCATGTAAGATGTTTGACAAAACAATAATGTGAATTCTGTGACTTTTCTATGAGAAAAGAGCTACACCATGCGTGTGCGTTTTGGAAATTTGAATGTACGAATAAGGTGTTTGCTACCCTTTTTAGCCCTATTTTATGTTAATACGTATGAAAAAGAAAACTTTGAATCAATTACATTAATACATACAAGGTGTTTGCTCAACGAGAGTGTGAACTCTGTCACTTTTATATTTTTGTCACTTTTTCTCAAAAAAAAGTTACAGCGTCTCATTAACTGATGCATATGATTCCGTCACTTCTAAAAAAGCTTATTAGGACTGCATGATTTGGGCCATCCTGAGTGGTAGTAATTTTCAGCCCGATAATTTTAAGAAAAGGGTAGGCCCGAGCCGCCTCCAAATGAATTGTGTTGGCTTAAGTGTATGTTCAGTAAAAAAATAAAATAAAATAAAAACGTAGATTATAAACTGTAAGTCATATAAAATATGTGAATAAATTTTTTGAATCTTATAAAATATATAGATAAAATAATGTTGACTTGATTATAATTTTAAATTTTTTACTAAAATACTCCAAGAAACAATGGCCTCAAAAGGGTGGTTTTATTGTCACCACAAAAGAGAGAAGAAAGAGCGCTATACTATTTTTTTTCCTTTTTAATACTCTAGGATTATATTTTTAAAATGGCAGCAGTCAATTTATTAAAAATATTTTTAATCAATGTGCATTTATTAAGTGATGGAACAAACAAAAATTACGATAGCAATCTATTTACTCATCCGATTTTTTTTTGGATGGTATATTGACACCACTATTTTGCTGGTTGCACTCTATTTTAATTGCACCGAAGGTTCATAAATTATTACCTTCATGTAGACAATTGTTTTTCGTTCCATTCTTATCCTCAACATTTTATTAAATAGCATATATTGTCGTGACAACAGTTTCTGTCGAAAAAATCTGTTACGCATTCGTAAAATGACTTACTCGCCCCTCATAATTATAAATAAGCAAAAAAAATTAACTACACAAATTAAAACATTTATCCTTATTTTAAAATATGCTAACAAAATATTTTCGGAGACAAAATATATTAATTAATGGAAGGCAGGGAATAAAGCTACTATAAAAAGAGTTAAGGAGATAAATATAATAATACAAAAATATTGAGGACCTTTAATGCAATTAAAACATTTTTCTAACGACTGAGAATCTTTATGAACCACGATTTTGCCACTATAAGCACGCTTAACAGAAAATAATTCCCCCTTAACCATTTGAACTAAGAAAACGACCTTTGTATATTGTTGCTCTTCGCATCCCATTCACTTTTGAGTTCTATTACTTCCAAGAATTCTCTTACTGCTCGTTTCTCTCTCTGTTCCTCAAGAAAAAAAAGGTAAGTTTTCGCTGATTGTTCTTCACAATCTCATTTTCAGTAAAGATTTCTATCATCAGCTATTCAGCTGTCTTGATTGCAAGTTTTCGGTCACTTTTTTTTTTTAAATCATTATAACTTCCCATTTGCTATGATCACTTAATCTTTAATACCTCACTCTAAGTAATTTTTCTGGGTTTTTGCTTTCAAGTATCAATAGTGCGTGTATGGATACTAATATTTGGATGGTTTTCTTCAATTTTTAAATTTAATTTTAATGGGTTTTTTCCTTGTATTTTTCCTGTATGATGCCCCCATGATGACATGTTGAGTATGAAGAGCTATTCAAATTAATTATTGAGTTGAATGTGAATTTTTTTGTTTCTTGATTCTTATATGGTAATATGTTTATTCATTTTCGTGTTATGAAATTCACATGTAGTTGAATTAGGTTTTATAAGTAGTTTTGAGAAAGCCTGTGCTGTATTGAATTTTTTGAAATTAAGCTATGAATTTTATATTAATTAGAGCTTCTTAGTTATCTTTGTTGACGAAAATTAAGTTAATTATGTAGTTAACACCCGATGAATGTCACTCATATAAATAATCGTACCTAATTGAACTATGTGGCATACGATGAGGCCGCACACCTTATGTGGCAACACGGACGACCCTGTTATAAGTATGGAGGTGACCCCTTTCCCATGAAACAAAATCGGACCGACTCCATTTAGGCAGATGCCCCGTGTAGGAGCCGCCGAGGCGGTCCTGACGAGGCAATGGCGAGATCCTTAATAGATCTCGTGGTGAAATGATTGACAAGACAATTTACTGCTAATGCCGCCTCTGCACACCTACGCGGTCAAATCCTACTTGCACAAATTAGGACTTATAGATGCAGAAGGGGTCCTAGCACTCAATGCTTGATTGACCAATTGATGCGTGCAATAAGAAGGACCAATCGATCTGATGAGGCCACGTGGCCTAACATTTGACGGGTCTCGTTTATCCTGCTCAAGTATAAAAGCTCACACTTAGTGTCATTCAAGGTTAATGCAAATTTAGACTCTCAAGCCTATATTCTTGCGTCATACACTTTTAATGTTCTACTCTCAATCTGACCCCCTTTTTGTCGATTGAAGGCTCATGTTCTAAGCTCCCTCACACCATAAATTATTCCTCTAATCGGCTCGACCGTTTAACTAACGACTTGTCCAAGTTTGTTGGGGTTGAGCCTACATGGACGTGAGATGTTTTAAGATCTGTTGGCCACATTATTGATATAATTTTTGGGGTCAACAAAACGTTTATATAAACACATGATTGGACGAAAGAATATTATAAATTGTATATCGAAGAATATTATAAATTGTATATAATAAACTTGTTTTTATTACAAAGTAAAAGACCCTATTTATAGGGCTATAAATAACTCTAAAAGGAAAGATTGTATAATAATTATACAATCAACTATTAATGAAAATAATCCTACACTATTGAAAAAATATCATAGAGATTATTTTTTCCATATCTTCAACAGAATCATTTACAGTATTCGAAGTGTTTTTAAAAATCATGAGTTTGTTTGATTAGTGAAATTTTGAAATCGTGTGAAAAAGATTATATTCTAATTTTGATATTTTTATGATAATTTATGGAAACCATGTTCTGTGAAGAACGGAAACAAAAATAAGTAGGTTTAGGTAAACACGAGAGCCAATAAGCATTGAACAATTGCACAAACAAATGCACTGATCTTGTTGTCTCAAAGTTTACCCCTGGTTATGTTTGACAGTGTTGTTAATGCTTGGTTTGCTTAAGTGAAGATTGTTAATAGACAAAATCAGACTGGCTTGGGCTTTACATTGGCATAATTAAGAGTAAAATTTGTGTTTTTACTGTATCTTATGGTGTCCGTTTATTTTGAAGATTTGGTAATGCCTGAACAAGGATATGCACCTTAGCAGTGGAACTACGGGAAAAGAAAAATCTTCACCTGCTTCGTCGGAAGTTACTCCGTCTCCTTCGCCAGAAATTGCAATTGGAATTGATATCGGCACCTCTCAATTAAGAGTAGCCATTTGGAAGGACTCCCAGATGGAGCTCCTCAGGGATGAACGAGACCATAATATAAAATCGTACTTTAGCTTCAATGAACAGGTTCCCAAGTACACCAGACGAGATGTTATCTGGCGCTGCCATTTTCAACATTAAACGTCTAATCGGTAGACTCGACACAGACCCTGCTATTCATGCGAGCAAAAACCTCCCGTTTCTGGTGCAGACCTTAAATACTGGTGCCAGGCCATTGATTGCTGGAATACTGAATTTCATGTGGATACATACTACTACTGAACTACTTCTTGAATGATTACTTTGTGATCTAAGAGTAGCAGTTGAAACCTGGCTCAAGCGTCCAGTAGAAAACATAGTATTGACCATTCCGGTATCATTTAGCTGAAACGAACTGAACATAATTACAAATGCCTGTTATAAGGCTGGCCTTCGTGTTCTAAGATTGATGCATGAACCAACTGCTGTTGCATTGTTATATGCTCAGCAGCAGCAACAGAATATGCTCAATAATATGAGCAGTGGAAGTCATAAGGTTGCACCTGTCACGGTCACTGTAGGAGGAGTCTCCCAGGCATGGAGTTTGGCTGGAAGTACCTTGGGAGGAGAAGACATACTTGAATATCTTACCCGATATGGATAGTTACTTCTCGAGACATGGAATTGTTGAAATATGGAAAATGGGATTGCTTCGAACTGCCACCCAGAATGCGATTCACAAGCTCTCAATGCAACTTCATGTTAAAATTGATGTTGATTTCGAAAATGGATGAAAATAAACGAGGTCCTCAACAGAAAGAAATTCGAGAAAGTCAACCAGAATGTTTCTTGAAAATTGCAAGAGTCTGATCAACAAGTGCTTAAATGATGCGAAGATAACTAAATGATGTAATTCTTGTTTAGCAAGTCAATTCTGGAAATTTTCATTTTCTGCAACAATTTATGAGTAAGAACAGAAATCATTAAACATAAAGCTTAAAACAATTGCAGAATTCGGAATAAGGATGATCGACGCGAGAACTAGGCTCTCTGTCCTTAAGACGTTTTTACCCCATCACACGGAGCTTACGGTATGTGATAAAGCGTCTCCCAAGATACAACGATCAGACACTTGCAGAAGCAGCACTTCGACTGCAAGACAGCGAACCAGAATCGGAAGTACTCACTGTAGACTAATGCAGAAAAGAAAACGAAAGACTGTATATATGCAGAATGAACTCGTGTATTTTCTGTATTTGTTAGTGTATCGAAATGAAAGCCTGAGGATCCATTAAATAAAGGAGAGAGTTGACGATTGATCCTCGTACAACTCCCCACTTTGAGCAATTACAACATTCATGCCCACGTAACTCACGGTTGAGCAGTTAAGACGTCTACTTAACTCATCGTTTTCATAAACTGATGGTTCAGTTAATAAACCGTAAAAAGGGAGGGAATTAATTGAATTCAAATAAAAAATTTAAAAAAATTTTATCCAAAAAATTAATATTGACATGGGCCCAACCCTAAGCCTAGGACCCGAGCTTGTGCCGGCGGGCCAGCGGCGGTGGCGTGAGCTTGTGGCCTTTGGTTAGTCTAGACATTGTCCAAGACTCTCCCCTTTCAAAGATTATTGGTACCCCTTGGGGCCCAAACCTGAGTCTCAAATTTGAGCAATATAAAGTGGTTTATATTCTTCTAACTTTCCTATGTGGGATTGGTACTTTTCGAATTTTTCCCCAATTTTTATTCTAATTTTTTTCCAATTCTTTCCAATTTATTCCTCTTATTTATTGTCCAACTATTCTTGTGGGTGGTTGCTCAAATATCCTGAAGATACGGAAAATGGTTACTGATATATGTAGAAAAGAACCGTACTTGGGAATGAACCCACTGGAGGCTGCAGTGTGCATGGCAGCACTGGAAGGTGCAGTGGTTTCTAGCATGGAAAATTCTTTTGGGAGTTTGGACCTATTTTGGATTCAAACAACTCCAATGAGCATTGGAATTCAAGCAAACGGAAACAGCATAGAACATATTATCCCTAAAAATACTACGTTGCAGGCAGAAAGAAGCGTGTTGTTCAAAACAGTTCACGATAATCAACCAGGGGCACTAATTATCGTCTACGAGGGCGATGAGAAAGAAATTGAAAATAACCATACCTTACGGTATTTTAAGATCACAGGGATAACTCCAGCTCGAAAAGGTGCTCGGGTTATTGAAGTGTGCATGAGAATTTGTGCTTTGAATGTTCTGACAGTTTCCGCGGGGTTACTCTTCTCTTCTGCTCCTGCTATGCAAGTATTGATGCCAATGGAGCATCATGGGCATCGCTGGTGAGCTGAGGCGCTGTACAGCAACTTTAGATTTGGACGTGGCATATAAGACAGGACAACACTGAGATGCCTAGGAGGTTTATGGTTGTCCTGTAATTAGACTAAAATTCTATGCAGGCGTCTTTGGAGTTATGTTGTTGATAGAATAATCTTGGTCTTGCCCTCCTGAAATGGTAGGTTCTTGGGGCTACTGTACTTTACCAGAGAAGATGTATAGAAAACTAAAAAGCTTTTTGTCTTTTTTCCCTTAACTCGGATTGATGTTCATCGACTCTTAGGTTTTAAGAAAGATCGTTATAAGAACGAGTGATTGTCCTTTGCAGACCCTTCTTTAACAACACTGTTTTCTGGATCACTCCGCTAGCTTGCTTGATCTGATACAACAATATGCATCAACAAATATGTACAGTTGATGTTCCTCGGTGACAAGTGTGTTCCTCGGTAACAAGTGTGATGTGCTTGCTTTATTTGATAATTTTTTAGAAGCTACGGATTTGATGGAAATTTCTGCAAAAGCAAGAAAAATGCGCTAATAAGCCATCAACACTCGTTGATTTAAATTGAATGTCGACACCACTGATTGAAAATCAGAATCTTGTTGATTCTAAGTCAACACTGAGAATTCATATAATCCAAAAACCGTTGATAGCTCTAACTGGAAATTGCAATCAAATAAGGCAAAGTGCAATATAAAGAAGGGAAGATAGAAATCTTTTACAACAATCTACTACTATAGACAGACGACCCATCTTGGCCTACTACAGGAATGATCTGACCCGTGTTTTATAGCAAGTTGAGCCACGCCCGGTCCACAATATTTCTAAGGGCTTCTAGGATGGGCCTGGCTCAGCCTAGTAATGGGCCCCTTTCAAGCCAACCGTGCCGTAAAATGAGAAGGTATTTCTTGATTTCACAATTTAAATTTTTAGATAAAATAGTTTACTTGAAACTCCTTTTAACTAAGGCACTTATCGGCGAAGTGATTTACGTGCTATTTCTCATACTTTCTTTTTATTTTTTTAGTTCAGCCACTCTAGTTATCTTGTATTGTTGGAAATGAAATGAAAAAATAACAGAAGTACAAGCTGTGGATAATTTTGGTACCCTAAGTTTGAAAAGTTCACAACATCCTCACAATCCAAAGCACAACTGGTATTTCCTTACCCTCGAGAAAGATGGAGCTTCAACTCTTATAGCAAATCTCATATTGGTCAAATCAATATCAATAATTGATCAAATCGGATTTTTGTGCACTTATTACATCAAAGCCATAAAACCATTTTTTATGCACATATCATGTCACCAGATTCCATAACATCTTTCTTATTGCGCTGACTTCAACCAACTTGGTCTACCAAGCTGGTTTATGATTTACCCTCGAAATTTTCGATCCATCCATCAATAACACTTTTAACAAAGTAATCAACGGCACAACTGAGTTGTGAGCTAAGCTTGAGTCCACACCCTATGAAATGGTTCAATAATCCCTACCTCATTTGGTTTTCATCCCAATCTACAAAATGTCTCAAACTTTTAATGATTTTTCCAAGATGTTGTCATTTATGTTCTACCGGAGTTGAGTAGAGGATGTGAAAGACTATTAAATTAAAAATGAGTAAAAATAAATTACCATGCTACATATAGATAGTGCATCGAACCATTTTATAAACTCAACTTGCGTTTTTCTCATAATGCTGATGTTGACACACTAAAAGTGCAGCCCAAATGAAATGGCC